GGCCGGCGGGGGGGCGGGCGGCCCCGGCGGGGCGCTGCAGCGGGAGCCGGTCTATAACTGGCAGGCGACGAAGCCGACGGTGCAGGAGCGTTTCGCCTTCCTCTTCAACAACGAGGTGCTCAGCGACGTGCACTTCCTGGTGGGGAAGGGCCGCGGCTCGCAGCGCATCCCGGCGCACAGGTGGGCCGCGCGGGGAGGGAAAGGGGGGGAGCGGCGCGGGGGGTGCCCCACGCGTGAGGACCCGGGCGACCGAGGTGGGCTGCGGGGGATACGCGGGCCGTGGGGGTGCTCCGGGCCCTGCGGCGGCCTGGGCAGGCCGTGGAGGAGGTGGGGGGTTTGCCCGTAGGCCTTGCTGGGGTCCCTGCGAGGTGGTCGGGGGTCCCGGGCCTAAGGGCAGGCCGTGGGTGAGGGTCTGCCGTGGGGTGTCTGCCCCCCCCCCCCCCCCCCCGCCGGCGGGGGGTGGGTGGGTGCAGGGTTTGGGCTTCTGTGCTTCCCTCATGAAAGGAGAAAGGGTGGGTGGGGGTGTCGGGTAACTTCACCCCGCGTTTTATCCGCCATCGGGAGCGGCCAAGCCCGGGGGGATGCATCGGCCTCAGCGAGGCCCAGCTCTGCTTCGGCCTCCCGACACCCCGGCGGGACGGAGGGAGCCGGGCAGCACCGGGGTCCGGAGCGTGGGTCCCCCCCAGTTCGGTCTTTGACGTGTCAGGAGGCGACTCTGCGCCTCGGCGTGGTCAGTCGCTGTCGCCCCAAATCTCTCCCAGCCCTCGGATCGATGTTGTGTTTCTTCTTGCGGTTACCAGCCTGGGTGACGGGGTCCAGCTTTCGGCTAGGAGTGTTTTCCGTGGAGGGTAGGTGCGATTGGGGCAAGCGCAGTGGGGAAAAACCCCAAATCCCTGGATCTCATTTGGAAGCAATCCTTGTTTTTGTGGGTTGTGGGGGAGAGGAGGAATAGTCTCCAAGAGTGCTTGATCTCTGCCGACAGATTCAGGGATCGGTGAGAGCGTTGGGGATGGAAAAGAAAGAGCGATGATTTGAGAAACCAGATTTCTGCCGCAACATTTTGTTTTAAAAATAACCTTTATTCGAATCTTTTCTGAAGCCCTGTATTTTGGGGGTAATCCACTGCTATAAAACAAACCCCATGATTCTGGAAGAGTTGTATCAAGAATGACATCTGGGCATGAGGTAACCGGTCAAGGTTAACGTTTAAGGCCGAGCTGCCATTTAAGAGTTTGCAGCTCTGAGCTGCTCGCTGGCAGAGAAGCTGGGAATTGCCTCCACCTGGATAATGCAAAAAACCAATGTGGCTGATTGACATTTGGCTGCTGCTTGGGGCAGCTCTGGTGATTTGATGCATGCCACTTGCACCCTACCGCTCTGGGAAGTGCCTCCTGGGCTGCTCGGCTGTACCAACAGCAAACATAAGAGCCTTTTGCTCGAAGGTGGGACCTGCTTTAATTGGGGGTGGGAGAAGGCTTATTGGTGTACTTAGAAGTGGTGCTTGGCAAAGGGAGCCTCATTCCAAACTATTTCAAACTATTGCTTTTCTCGTAAGTGCTCGCACTCCTGGAAGTTTCCCCTTCAGGTTTCCCTTTTTCTCTTGCTTCCCGAACAAAACACGCTTGTTCTAGGCTGGTTTGAGCATTTAGGGTGGCAGTTCTGCTCTTTTATAATTTGAAGCTTAATTAGTATTTGAGTAAGCTTGCTTCTGTTCTGAGAACTAGGCTTGCTAGGTGGGTAGGGGCAATGTTCAGCCCAGAAATAAATGGAAAATAAATGAAGCTTTGAAAAAAAAAAAAAATAGCCACAAAGTGAAATGCTGCTTAATTGCTCTGAAATCCATCTGGTGCTCCGGGTGGTAAAGATAGAATAGAGTGTGTCATGCCGTGACATCCCACTTATGGATTACATAGATTTTAGTAAAACTTGCCTATATGATATTACAGTTGGGATATCCTGATGATTCATGAAGTACCGTGGTTATTTCAGAAGCAGAGAGCTTAAAATAAAACCACCCAGACCCCTTCTGTGCTCAGTTCTCCCACAGCAGCCTGACAGCAGAAGATACTTTGCGCTGGAATTGAGTCGCAAAGCAACCAAGAATTTAATTTGAGAGGCAGTGTATTGCTTCAGCAACCAAGGGCAGATGTTCGTACTTTGATGATAGGTGTCTAAAATAGTGCACCACTAACAGGTAAGTATTTCTACAGTCTGGTTTTATTGTGTTAATTTTCAGACCAGGCCAGGTATAAAGTGTGGCTGTGGTAGGAGCATATCCTAAATAGGGTTCTTGGACAGCAGCTAGTAGTGCCTGGAGGAGTGGTCTGCAATATCTTACTTGTCATCTTTGATAATGCTGCACGGTGCATTAGAAATCGCCAGCTTTGGCAGCTAACCGATTAGCACAAATAATCTGAGAGTCACAGTCCTGCAGGAGCTGGAGGTGATAGTGCAGCTGCTCCCTGGTTGGGCTCCTCCAGGAAGGAGCGGAGCAGAGCAGAGGTGGTGTATTTGTAGGTTGAGGGAGTTAAATGGCATATATGCCGAGCGATTGCAAGCGATGTTGTCCATGCGTGGTGGTGCAGGGAGGAGGTTTCTGAGTGTGATGTAGCTGCAAGTTCAGGTGCGTTTCTAAGAGAGTCTGGCAAGTTCAGCAGTTCGTATAAAGCCGTAGAAGCAGACAATAGATATCTCGCATGGCAGCTAAGAGCAAACATTGATTTTGTTTGTGAAAGCTATGTTTGTAGACAAAGGGCATAAGTGGCTGTGCTGGGTTTGACTGAAGGTTCATCTCTCCAAGCATCTGTCCTGCGAAGCATCTGCAGCACTGAGATCAGACGTTTGCCACCTTCAGGAGGCTTCAGACCCTGCAGAAGTTGCTTGCCTGCCCTGGAGCAAGCTTGATCTCTGCGCCTTGAGGTCGTTCCCTCTTGCTGCTGAATCAGCCATGAAGATGGAATGGCCTTACTTTTTTTTGATGTCGAGGCTGGACCAAGCAGGCTGCCTTGAAGCTTCACGATGCTAATGTGGCCAAGGTCAACGCGTTGATTAGGCCCAGAAGTAAGAGGGAACAGTTTGTTTTGTCTTTTTCCAGATCTGCTTCATCGAGCACAACATCAGTGAGATTAGAAACATCTAAACCTCATCAGCCAGGATCTGCATGGGTGTGATAATTAAGCTTGTTAATTGGCCAGAAAACATGGCCCAGAAGGGAACAGGGCAAGTGTGTGGTGATGCACCCCTGTGTATATATACTCCAGCCTGGGGGATCTGCAGCTTGGGGACAGTCTGAGTAGGTTTTTGGCTGCTGTTTCCAAGTGTCTCTTTTCTGACCTCGTCCTGTCTTTTCTTGGATGCATATTAACTTGCAGTACCTGCAGTGTTGTGTGCCAAGATGTCCCACTGCTCAGCTCCTGGGGTTGTGTGTGAAGAGCTTCTCCTGGGGGTTTTTGAACCTGCCTCCTGCTCATTTCATCTGGTGTCTCTAGTCCTTGCGCTGGAAGGATGCACCCAGCAAACGATCATTGTTCATTAGCTTCTTGTCACCTATGGTTTCACCAAGCTCCAGCACATCATGTGTTGCTCTGTTCCTGTGCCAGCTCTTCTGGAATAGATATTTTAAGGTTGCTCTGCAGTGGAGCAGATGGAGGAGGGAGGTGGTATGCAGCAGTGGGGTAGTCGTGGTTCTCGAGTGGTTTATTTTATTATTGGTGTTACCGCAGTGTCTAGAAAGGGAGCAGGACTGTTGGGTATACAAATTAAACTAGGTGACAGGTGAAGATGCTGAGGTGAACAGGGAAGCAGTGAAAATTGGTGGGTAGGAAGCCATAAGCAGCGGAATGAAAGACACTTTCTTGCAGGCCTTCAAAAGCCTTCAGAGTCAACTTTGGATCCTTGTGAAGACAAATCAAATTATTAACCTCATGGAAGTTCCTGTGACTCTTACTGCTGCTAGTCAGTTTACTTTGATTCTTAACACTGTGCAGAGGGAATGACGAGAAATCAAGTGTTGCTTTTTTAGTTCTTTTGCTCTGCTTTTGGTCATTTCTCTGCATCCTTTCAGTAGTTCACTTTGTTTTGGCCACTGCGCCATTGTTTAAAAATAACCCTCTGTTTGAATTATTCCTCTGACAAAGGTGGGTTACTACGCTGGGCTTATGGTACCTGCATTTTCCTTTTTAGAGTTGCATGTTTGTATCAGGCAGCGCTCCTTGGGGTTAGGAGAGAGGCTTGCTGTGCACCGGTTGCTACAGTGCTTTGGAAAATAGGAGGGGAAAAGAAAGTATGCCCTATTACTCTGCTAGTTTGGATTAATAGTTGTGTTTCTCCCATCTGAAACACCCTATCTCTTCCTTCTGCAGACCTGTGCGGTTGGGGAAAACTATTGGATTGTGTAGGAGAAACGGTGCACATCCCTGCTTTTCCTGGAGTGTCTTTAGAATAGCTTTAAATGTTCATTTTAGCAAGAGTAAGAAGACACCGTGAAGAGAGAGGGATTTTCTTATGTTAATTGTGTTCCCTTAATGTTTTAAGGGAACTTAAAATTTGGAGTCCTGTGTATATCTCTGGCACCTACTGGGATCCCTTTAGTGTTCAGCAGTTTCAGAAAATTAGACTGCCTTGTCCCTGAGTGAAATGGAAGCAGAAATTTGAGAGATTTTTTTTTAAATGAATGCCCTTTTCAAATAGCTTCTGAAAGCTGTCCACTCATTGAGGATGTATACTGTGCTGGCTGTGAGAATGAAAATTTCCGGAGTGCAAGTAATATATGTTAATTTCTAGTAGCAAATAATGCCTGCGATTGTCTTGCCACCATCACTGCTTTTGTAGGAACAAGGATTTTTGCTTCATTTGGCAATTCCAGTATTGTGAACATGGGTTTTTATTTGTTCTTGACATTTTTCTTCAGAATTGTTTGATAGAAATATGCATGTGTGTACTTTTTTTGTAACCACTGTGGTTTGTCCCTAGCTCTCTTAACTGATCAGGAACAATACAACCCGGCTTGTCAGCCAAACAGGCCGTCACAGCAAACAAGCCTGGCATGTCCATGTCGCTTCACTCTATTGTATACGTGGAAGGCCTCCTCTGGATGGGAGGGGAGTGAAAAGCGAGAAAATGAAAAATTTTGTTTAAAAGGAAAAGAAAAAGGCTTCTGTGTAATTTCCTACTGCAGAAAAATCTGACTGAAATTCCCCTTTAGTGGTGGGCTTTCCTTGGGGTCCAAGTACTGGAGGTTTCTGTCTTGTGCCTTCTGTCCTGTACGGTTTTCCGCCTGCAGTTCTTGATGCTTCTGTGTCGAAGCGTGCGTCAAACTCTGCTGCAGCAAGAGCCCCTGAACTTTCCAGCTTCTGCAGCCTGGTCTCCTCTGCTTCCCCACGCTGCTGAGCTGTGACCTTCGTGGCCTGTGCTGTATTTAACTTCAGGGAGCTGCTTGATTGCAGACACCAGGAGCAAGATTGCTTTCCTTGGAAAAACTCGTCTCTGCATTTTCAGACAATGGAAGTTCTCAAAATGGCTTTTGTAAGGCATAAGGCAGGTATGGCAGCTTACATATACACAGGCCTCTCAGCAGCCCAGGTCTATGCCTCCTCCTAAAATAGGAGTTGGTGTTTATCAGTGGGGGAAATCATCTTGTTTACATGGGAGCGCTGGAATATTATTTTTGGTCTCAAACCTGGTTTGTGGGAATTCTTGCTTATTTCTTTAGGGCTGATAACATGCCTCTCACTGTTAATTATCATGTAAACTCACAGCAGTGCGAAAAGGGTTTGTGTGCACCTAACGGTGACAGTGTGCTTTGAGTGAGGTTTTTTCTGCCTTCTAGACTAAGCCCGAAGCAGGTTTTGCATGGAAGGAGACAGCAGTGTGCCCAGGGAAGGCAGCTCCCTGGTGCTGGGTGCTGCAGGAGGTGCTGGTGTCCGCAGCTGCTGGTGCAATTTGCATGTTTTGAGAGCTTGCTCTGCTGTCACCAAGGATGTCTTCCTGGCGTATGGTGAGAAGGGAGGAGGATGCGTAGTGTGTAGCGACAAGTTTTCCCTAAGTGTTTTCAGTGCGTGACTGTGGGGAATTGCACCAAGGCTTCTGTTCACTGGAAGAACTTCAATTCCTTAACTTCATTTTTTCTTAGCTTCTCAACCTAGTGAATGGTCACTAGGCTCTTATGAGGACTTTGCAAAGTGGCTGCACGTATTCTGTTCCATGATGCCCAAAATCTTGCCTTTGGGGAACCATCACTGTGTTGTATACTGAGACAGGGCTCAAAATGAAGTTGCTTGCAGCTTTGTTGTTTTTGCAGTAAACTGATGGAAAGCCTGACACTCCCTTCTGTTGCAAAACATTTTTGCTTTAACGCTAGGAACGATTTGCTTTCCCTGGGGGTTGCCTTGGGGAATAGCAACTAGCCTGGGATTTTTTTGGAAAGTGAATATGATTTAACGTAAGTTATTTTTGCTTGTTTGTTTTTTAATGTTAGGTTTGTGCTGGCTGTGGGCAGCGCAGTCTTCGATGCGATGTTTAATGGTGGAATGGCCACAACTTCTACAGAGATTGAGCTGCCTGATGTGGAGCCTGCTGCCTTCCTAGCTCTGCTGAAGTAAGCTTCTTCTAATGTACAGTATAACTGGAATGAACAGATTTATTGTAGAGAAGGGTATTTTTAATGAAAGCAGTGAACTATTCTGTAGAGTGGAGATCGTTAAGTTTCTAAATAAAATGCCTCTGTTGATCTGTTCAAGGGTGTTTAAATGCTGGTGTTAAATCCCTCTTTTCCTGGGTAAAAGTCTAGTGTAGCTACTGCACAAAAATATCTGACTTGCCCCAGGTTTGGTTTAGCAATAGTTAAATGAATATGCCCTCCTACTGCTGATCTGCAGTATGGGCAAAACTAAACTGGATAGTTTATAATTTTGTAAATATGTAGTTATATATGGTTACACCATGCAAATGCAGCAATAAGGAGGTGTTCTGGTTAGCAATTGGAATAAGTGCGTGTGCTGGCCCTTGTAGTTAAGTTGATACTCACCTGTTCAGACATTGTCTCATAAATTCTCGTTCAGGAATTGGTTTGATTTCATCCAAATGCTATTTGAGAGAAGTGGGGAAAAGTACTCCTCCTGAAGCTCTGTAAGTTACAAGTACTTGGAGCTCATTTAGGTTATGGGCAAATGAGCAAGTTATAACAGGTAAGCAAGGATATGAAATCAATGTCAGCCATTCTGTACGGTATCTCCCCTTGTGCGTGTTTTATTCTTTCGGAGAGCTGGTTTTGAATTTACGTTTACAGCCTGCATTGTAAGTCTACATATGCTGGGGGAAGGAGGAGGAAGGGGCTGTAACATCCTATTCACTGATTTCTTTAAGCTCGGCTGGTGCTGTATAACATCTAGCAGCAGTCCTGAATGTATGCCGAAAAGTCATTGTCCCATTTCTATAGGATTTCTGTAACCTACTTCCAGGGGTTTCCAGTCCTGTGCTCTTGACATGTTCCCTGCTTGCTTCCTATTGGGAACAATGACTATATATAGCTTTGGCATACTTTTTGCTTTACCTTCAAAAAGTGCTTCGGTCATGACTGTGCTGTCTTAGAAGACTTTAAAACTGATCTTCACTAGAATGAAAGGCCAGAAATAATAGGGAGCCCCTAGCCCCCTCCCCTGTGGCTCATTTTGAAGCAGACACCAGCACATGGGGAATCCCTCTAAATGGCATATGACTCTGTATCAGCCAGGTAGATGTCTCTGGAGTGCAGAGTTAGTATCTATCTTTAAAACTTAGCGAGGCTAAAATATCAAGTGAATTAGAGGCAAAGGCATGTTTTTTCCCTGCCAGTGCTGAGATTTCAGCACTTGTGTAAACAATATGGTCTTGGAAGAGAACCATCATCTGAAAAGACTAAAGTGACGAGTTTAGGTGGATTTCAACAGAAATGTTTATATTTTGTACAGGAGAAATTGTGTGTGGGTTATCACAGTGCCTCCGAAGCCTGCATTTACGCTGCAGTAGCTGTGCACGTGGTCCAGTCATATTTTAGATGCTTAAGTCTAGAATCGAGCTGTCACCTTTAAAATGCTTAGAGCTTAAATGTGCCAAAGGAAATTTGGGTGCTGTGTTCCAGTAGGAAGCTTTCCAAGTACGTGGTGTGAACCTTCCTAGAGTAAAACCAGTCCCTCCAAACACTGATCTGAAATGGCAGCTGATCCTTACATATGTCTCTGGACTTGGTCCAAGCCATGACCTAATGCTGTAGGATCAGGTGCTTATCAAGGGACAAAGCGCCCATCCTGAATGTTCAGCATAAGGTCCCTTCTGGACACTAGATAGTGACTGTGTTTGTGGTCTAGTGGCCTTTAATAGGTCTGCTGTAATTGTACAAGAGATAATTTTTTTATTATTATTATTACTTTCATGGTAACCCAAAGAACATTTTCAATTGTCTGGGGTTATAATCTAAATCTTCTTTTAAATTGATACTATACTTTTTCACAGTTTGAGCCTCTCTTGTTATCCCTTTTAGCGCACACTGTTTGGACTACTGTAAAAATAAATACTAACACAGTCATTGCAGTAAATAGAACTAGTTGTTTTTAGAGCAACTGTGTTCTTTTAATCTTGTAATAAAAAGGATTACTTAATGAAAATAGGACTGGCAAAGGGATGTGTGCAAAATACATTCATGAGCCTGTGGCTCGATGCTGTTATTAACAGATGCTCTAGAACAGCACAAAAGCCTGCTTTCAACAGCAATGAGAGCGCTTCCCTTCCTCTGAATCCCCCTGTTTATGCTTCCCTGAATTGCATCCTGGCCCTCTCTAGCTAGAGGACCGGGAGCTCCACTGCTGCTCTACAGCAAGTCCCTCCAGACATGGATGCTGCCTGGCATCCCCCTAGAAGAGCCCTGCTGCTGCATGAAGCCTCCAGGAACAGCGGCAACGTGAGATGTTGCTGTGCCCCCATGTGAGAAATGCAGAAGAAATTGCTGGAGTTTCCAAAATATCCCGCGGAATAGGAATGCCAAGCACAGTTAACACACTTAATATTATGCCTCTGTGCTTCAGGCCTTTCAGGTCCTGATTGGCAAATGCTCGACTAGTTAAAGGAAAAACAGTAAACAAAAACTCTGCATGGGATTAGGACTAACATCAAGTGTGTAACTGGTTTTACTGAACTCAGCCTGTCAGTTCCTGTCTCTAATCAGCATGCTTGGGTATGAGGAGGCTCGGTCAGGCTTCCTATGAAGACCTTTGTTTTTCCATGCGGTATGAATGTACTTCCTTGTTTTGGCCTAACAGTGAAGGCTGATGCTTTGGTAGCAGTGTGGCAGTCCTTGTTTTTCACTGCAATTAACTCTTGCTTTATGCTGAAGTTGTATTGCATGCTGTACTTTAACATCTGTATAATGAAATGAAACAGTTCAGTATATAAAGTGAAGAGATGAGGGGAAAGTGGGGTATGGATAAAACACCTTATCTGCAGTGGATGTATATGTTTGAGTGCTTCTGATCACATTTGAATTAGTATGTAAAATGGAGCTTCTCTTCTGAAGTAGGCAGGCAGGATTGAATTTTTGTCCTTGTTTAGTCCAACTCAACAGCCAAAAATATTAATTTTAAGGGGTACGCTTGTCCAGAGACTGTTTTAGCCTAATGTAAGTGGGAGGCTAAACAGCTCACTGGTTGTGGGATGTGAGGCAGTTTGAGGTGCTTCGGCAGATATCCCAGCTATTTCATTCATTAAAAGTTACACTGTAAAGAATGTGTGTTTTGGTTTTTTTTTTTTCCACTGACCAGAGTCAGTGGAAAGGATGTGAAAACCCTTCCATCTCTCAAGTATAGGAAATGGGGTCAGGATGATAGGCAGAAGCACAAACATTTTTTTTATGAATTGCAAGGGTTTTTACCCTGTTATCTTATTGGCTTCACCAGAGCAATGTTTGTTTGCATGTTTTCAGATTTCTTTATTCAGACGAAGTTCAGATTGGACCAGAGACTGTTATGACAACACTTTACACAGCTAAAAAATATGCAGTTCCAGCCCTTGAAGCTCATTGTGTGGAGTTTCTTAAAAAAAACCTCCGAGCAGACAATGCATTCATGCTGTTAACACAGGTGAGTTTGCAATCATTTGCATTAAGTCCCTTGAGCAAGCTCCATCACAATAGGAAAACGGAAGTTTTCTGAATGTTGCAGAGTTGATCATCCAAAATGGAGCAGTTCAGTGTCATTTTGAATTCTTCCTTACAGGAGTCTAGTGCTGATGAGCAGGTTCTTACAAAGAACAATAAAATACAGCAAACGTTGCTGCCATTTCAGATCTGCTTTCTGTTTCCGTGTGGCAGGCAATTGCTTCCAGAGTGTGAGCTGGGGAAGAAATTAACAGGGTGGAAAAATTTCATCTGCCAAGAAGAAAAGTGAAATGAGAGGATTTTCACGTGTTCAGATTCAGGACTGGTGTAATAAGCTTTCTCTGTGCAAAGCTTGCTGCATTTAGCTGGCCAGACATTCTTTGAAGGGCTTTTTTGCAATAGTTTCTCTGAAATGGGGGTGAAAGAAAATGCAGCTTTTCCATGAGTGCTTAGGTTTATTTTCTTAGGAGAGGAACAAAGTGATCTCTTCCTCAGCCTGTTTGAGCTCACCCTCCCACTGTACTGAAGGCACACAGACCTAGAGTTTCAGTGCAGCTGTGTTTCTTGACTCTTTGTGAGGCCGGTTGCACATCCTTGTGGCCCTCTGATCTGATCTACGAGGGCTGGACTCCTCCATCTTCCATTTGACTCTTCTAAGCAGCAAACTAGAAGGCAGTGTTTACAACTTCTGCTTATTTTGGAGAAGATCAGACTCTGCATGCGGGTTGATTAAATTGGCATCACTATCCTTTCAATTTCCTAGCCCCATCTTTCCTTTCTGGTCCCTGCCACCCTCTCTGCTGACAGCTAATGACATATCAGTGACTTCCACAGTGCTGTCACCTGTGTGTTCCAGTGTGTATAGCATTGCCAGGCACACCCTGTTCTGGGTGGTGTAGGAACAAGACACAAATACGCATTGTGTGTGCAAGTTTCTTTCCCTTAGGGAATGGGCATACTTTTGACTAGCTCTGGAGGATTATTTCCGATCAGCCAGCTCAGGAAAGCTGCCATGATTTCTGATGTTAAACAAACCTTGCAGAGGAGTTTTCATAGCTGCCCTGACTTGGGAACCAATGCACTAAGGTGGTCTCGTTCTGGGGACTTGTCCTGTCTTGCCCAGCGTATTTGTCTGCTGGCTTTTTTCTTCCTTGTCAGGAGTACAAGCATCTTTCAGGCTCTGTAGTTACCACATTGGTGGCAGCATCTACACCAACAGTTTTTGCAGAAATTGAAGCAGTGTTGGCCTGAAGCAGTCGCTGCTGAGCTCTTTGCTTGTGTGCTGTGATGAAGCTGGGATTTTGAGTTTGAGAACCTGATCGAAATATTTAAAGTAGTTCTATGTTACATTGCTGTTGTAGACACCCTTCACTGCTAGGATTCAGCTATTGCTGCAAAACACCCTGTCCCTCTTTATACATCCTCTTTTTAACTTGACCCTATTCCCCATGCCATAAACAGGCGAGGCAGCCTCTGAGACATGGGGGGAACCACACTGCACTTCCCTGGGGAAGATTCAGGACTTAAGGATTCTTGCTTGGATGACAGTAGCCAAATCTGTGCTCCCGTCTGATGCGTGGTAGGACAATTGTAACTCTTTGGCTGCAGCTCACCCATTCTTTGAGTTCAGCAGCCTTCAGTCTGAAAGATCAGAAGGTGTTATCCAAGAGCTCAGGAGAGATCTTTCCCATAGGCTGCAGTTTTGAAGAGGCATCTTATGCTAGCCATCACCTCATGAGGATTAGAGGTGTCAGCTTTTTGGTGGTATTCTTTATGCAGGGATTTTTGCTGCATGCTAAGTCTCTGCAACCCAACTTCACAGCTTTGGCAAGGTAGCAGTTAGGTTCATGGTGACTTCCTTACAAGCCACAAAGGTCCTTCTTTGGCAAAGAGGAAGGTGTCCTAATTTTTCAGATATCAAAACCAAGATACTGCCTGGCACTCTGTCAGCTGCACTGGGGCAGCTGAAATGCCAGATGGAGACAGGCTTTCCTGGTTCCTTTTGTTTGTGGCTTAACCATTATGATTAATTATCAGTGGTGATTCGTATCTAGTTTATATTCGCTGTTGCAGTATATTACGTCTCTAAAATGTTTGAGGCTGGTGTTCTTTGAGAAACATATCTGTATCTCAATGACTGGCTTTACGAGGCACCTCACTTAATGCATCTGTTCTCAAAATACTCTTGGTTCTGGTCCTTCAGTGTGAAAATCGGCCTCTGTTTTCTGCTCTTACTGCAACAAATTGACAATTTCTACAGTCAATTACAGACCTGAGAGGCATCTTCTACAAAACATGTCCCAACAGGCTTAAGGTTGTAGACTTAAGATTGTGGAGCCCCAAACCTCCTTTCCGTGTATCATTGCTGAATCCTGCTGGTCCAGCAACTATGTCACTGACAGCGTTTCAAGCAACTGCTAATCTCTGGCAGAAATGTCAGTGGCAAATAGCTCTCCTAATTGATTGTGCCTCATAGTGAACCCTGATCCTCTTTCTTGCCAGACGTACATGCAAATGTCACTTTGATCAACAAGGAAATAATAGCTTGCCTAAAGCCGCTGTGGGGGAGAGCTCTGCGAGCGTAACGTAAGTCCTTCACGTGTCAAAAGAGAGCCACTACGGTAGTAAAGTCTGAGTCAGTCACAGTTCTTGGTTGCCAAGAGTATAAGGCACTGGCAATCCTCCAGCCCCAGGAGTGATGACTGCTGAAGCTTCCCTAGTACCTGAGAAAATGGAGAGTTGTTTCAGCTCTCTGCACTTGAGGTCTTAGCATCAAAGGTTGGCCTTGCTGAGCTCTACAGCCCATGAGCAAGGGTGAAGCAGAACATGCTCGATAGTGCTAGCCTCCATGAGTGACTGAATTCCCAGCCCAAACACAATTTTTAAACCTTAACCTGTGGCAGTGAGTTCAAGTCCCAGTGTAGTCTTGTGCTAATGTTAGGTGTAATGTTAAGGCAGTTCCTTCCTAAATAGCAAAACCAAAGCATTGGAAATGAGAGGTTGTCTTAGTGGCTTTTGTGTGTTCACGCCTCATTTCTGCTTATGCTGGGCACAGGGTTGGTAACATGTCTTGGTGGTCCAGGAGGACCTGAAGTGGTGGTGAAATTGTTATGAGACTGCACTTAAGTTGGGCAGAGAGATTCTGAACAGCTCTCCAAGCTATGTGCAGGCTTTGTTTGGAATAGTAACCTATTTTGGGGGGAATTCTTTAAGGTAACTAGATTAGAGTAGCTGTTTCTGTGCAAAACACGCAAACGCACTAAGCAGGCTGTGTACCCGCAGGGTTTTGCACGTCTCCTGGGGACGCAAGCAGTGTGCCTGCTAAGGCGTTTTTGCTAATACATGAGATCAGTGTGACTATGTTCTTACAGAATAAGCTGTCTCTGCATATTCCTAGAGTGAGCAGGCCTGGGGTCATTGGGCAAAGCTTTCTTCTAAATATAAAAATGATGTAGTTAAAATTACCCATGCTCAGCTGACATGGTCAGTATGGCACTAGAAAGCACTATAGCCGCGTTAACTGATGTGATGTTAAAACAAAGACGTGCCTGAAGACATGCACAGCCAGAACAGAACTGATGCCAAATGCAGATTTTTCTAGTGTTTGCCTCGTCATGCTTAACTGCTTGTGAAAGACTGCTGCAGCCCAGTGAATTCATGATGCAGTCAGGCATAGTATTGCTAATGAAGATGGACTCTGGGAGAGAAGGGGGGGTTCTTACTTAGTGTAAACTTTAAAATACCTTTTGTGTTAATGATTCCTTCTTCATTACTAGGCAAGACTTTTTGATGAACCTCAGCTGGCCAGCCTTTGCCTAGAGAACATAGACAAGAACACATCAGATGCCATCAACGCGGAGGGGTTTACAGACATTGATCTTGGTAAGCTTTTTTCCCTCCTCCCTCTACATGCTTTCATAACAAGCTAGCCTCTGAAGTTATTACAGATTAATACTTGGCAATTCTTTTTTGTGGCTTTGCTGTTCTGGAGCACTGTGTTGAACGGACAGTCTCTGGCATTAAGTGGCTAGAGACAAGGCATTTGCAAAAGAGCATGCTTGCTTGCAGAAATGTCCTGGAATCTGCTTACTTTGGTGCAACGTGAGTTTTCTGGGCATGATATAAAGCTCGTTTCCACTGTTGATATTGGCAGGTTTTGGGTGGGTGTAACTTGCCTTCTTTTGTGGAGTTGGCATTGTCTCCTGAGTCTTTGTCAGGTTTTGGAGTTAAAAAGGTGTTGCGTTTTTGGAAGCAAGACCTGGCTATTTTAATTATCGTATGCAGTTTCAAAACTTGCTGGGCGCAGTTAACAAACATTAAAATTCAGACTTTAACCTTCTTCTAATGAGATGGACTATGGAGGTAAGGCACGGGTAACCTTCTGGCTTTCACGTAAAGTAAGTTGCAATTCATTCTGCTGCACTTCCATTAACATGCCAATTAAATGGGCACTGTTTGCTGCTGCAGTGAGTTCCTTGTTTATGGAATATGCAGATATGTCTTCCTCGGAGGCTGCAGGCAGCACTTTTGGGAGATGCTGTTTTTTCAATTGCTTCTCTTTTACTTACCTTGGCTGTACATAGGGTACTTCTGGCTAGGTAAAAGGGGGTGATTTGGGTTAGTGCCTAAAGTTGTCACTATCTGTCCTGCCTTGCAGACACCCTGGTTGCGGTGCTGGAGAGGGATACCCTGGGGATCCGGGAGGTTCGTTTGTTTAATGCAGTGGTTCGCTGGTCGGAGGCTGAGTGTCAACGGCAGCAACTTCAGGTGATTCCAGAGAACAAGCGGAAAGTACTGGGCAAAGCGCTTTCTCTTATCCGCTTCCCATTGATGACTATTGAGGAGTTTGCAGCAGGTAACTGAACAAAGGCATTTCTGGCAACCCTGGTCTTTGCTTTCTCTGAACTGCAAAGGATCAAGTACATGAAAATGGATTTTTCTCTGTGTATCCTGTAGTAATTTAAATTTGAGATTATCCCCCATTCCCACTGATCTACAAAATCTACTCTGTAAATGCTATTTTCATCCATGATCATTCACTCTTGTTTTAAGGACTGCGGTGCTCCATCATGTAGGAGCAAGTCGCATAACAGTCGACTGTACTCATAGTATGTTTAGATGGTTACTTTCTCATTCAGCTGAGAGCAGCAATCCAAACAGGGGTTCACATGCTTTCCTTTCTAACTATTCCAAGCTTTAAAGTACACAAAGCTAATGGAGTTGCAAATAATGGGTGTTGATTGTAGCCTGCTCCCAAAGAGAAATGAGGATGTTTCTCCCCATCCTGTATTTGCTGCTGCCTGTAATCCAGTGGTGGTGCTGGCTGTGTCTTGCAGATGCCATTCAGAGCAGAGCCCCATAAAAGAAAAAACTTTTAAAACGTTCTTTGAGGTGCAGGGTTGGCATTGTTTAGTCTGTGTGTCAAAGCATTTTTCAAGTTTACATTCAGATCTTGATCTACAAAGATGTCTAAATCATTTAGCAGTTTTGACTAAAGATATGTTTTGTTTTGTTTTCATTGCCTGTGGTCTTTGACTTCATACTCTGGTGATTCTCCAGGGACTGAAAACTGGCAATCAGCTTAAATAGTTTTCATCCTAAAAGACACTGTGGAGCCATTTTCAAAATTGAAACTTGTTTTAGGCTGCAATTATGTGTACAAAGAAGCAAAAGGGGTCACTGACAACACTTCCTTTGCAAATCACTTCTCGAGGCAGAGATGTCGTCAGCTTATTAACAGTTAATGTACATATTTCAAGATGAAGAGGGATATTAGTAAGAAGTAAATCTGTGCTTAAAATTCGGTTCTCACTATCTATTTTGCCTGTCACAGCTGTGATGTAGTCTTAGGGATGTGAATCTCTTCAGAAACAGCTTGGTCAGGGAGGCAGGGGTCTGTTCAACTGAACTGGGTAACCTTCCTTTGTGTTGGCACTGGGTGAAAACACGGCAGGCTCCATTCCTTGGTGTGCACCATGCCAAACAGCAGCTTTGCAGCAGATCACAGGCTTATGATCTGGCTTGATGGGAGAGAGCATCCTCCTTCTGGATAGCGTTACAGCCATCAGAGTAGTTTGTGTATACCAAGCTTTGCATTTTTCTGTAGATACTGCTTCTTGCAACCCTTCCTTCAGATCTTGCATCATTCTGCCTCACTGGGAGGAATGTGTTAATTTGGCATATTTGGGTTGAAGCCTTTGAGCTGGGAATGTCAATGTCCTTTCACATACTGTCACAACTGCCTGTTTGACTTGGATCTTTGGTTAGTTTTCTTGCTTTGAGAGAAGCTCTTCAAGTTTTCTCCATCCACTTTAACCTAAAACATGAACAAAAGAAACCCCAAATCTGAGAGGGTGCCTTGGTCAGCTGTTCCTTAAACAAGGGATGACCTTGGAATTGCTTCAGCTTTGTCCTTTTTCTGAGCGACTCTGATTTCTTTGGTGATCACAGCAGAGGTAGGAGAGGGAAACCACTCCCCTCCACCCCTTCTCCCAAAAGCAAAAAAAAAAAAAGAAGGAAAAAAAGGATCTTTACAGGCAGTGGTTTCACCACTTTATTGTATAATCTGGTATCAAACATGGAGTTTTGCATGAAGATGTTTTAACTGGCAAATGTGTCACTCCCTTCCCTTAGAGCAAGTAATTTGAAACATTTGAAAACTGAATTGCAGCAACACAGGATAAGTTTAGGCATGATCAATGATGGCTAATTTTTGCTGAGCAAAGTATCCGTAAGCTCATTTATCTGTTAACAGTCGACTTCCTTAAATTCTTTCACCTCTACCTATTGCAGCCTTGGCCCACGTAGTATCGTGTTGAATTTAACCAACTACAAGTCGTTTTGGACCAAGAAGTAGCTAGGCATTTGCTTCCCACATTAACGCTACTGTTTCTCCAGTACGTGGTAGTCTTGTTTCTGTTAAAACCCTCTTGCAAACAGACGTGCAGAGCAGCTTTTGACTATTACGCTAAAAGACAAATTTTTACCTGGTTCCACTTTTGAAAGTATTCAAAGTAGTTTCCAAAGCTTGAGTTTAGCATCACTTTGGGAAAAAACGTCTGTAGTTACTGGAGAAAGGGTGAGAACGTGTTTGAACTTTTGCAAAAATCACTAGCATTTTTCCCTGGGTTCTACAATAAAGGTATTAAAAAAAACCCAAACAAACCCAAAGCAGGGATTAAATGCCCGAGGGAAGGAGGGAGTCAAAGCAGGGCGTGAGCTTAACCACCTTTGTCTTCACTGAAAAATACTCCTGTACTTTCTAAGTTGATGGTAACCAGGTGACATTCCCTCCCACTACCCCCTCCTGGGCTTTCATGGTGTCTTAACAGTAATATTATAAAATACTGGTGTAGATGTGTGAAAATCCCTGTCTCTTACCAGTATTACCATTTCCTGAGGGAGCAGGGGAAGGATTGGATTAGCTGCATGTTTTAGGTTTTTAAACCAGTCCTGTTGGCTAAATGCATTTTGGCTCTGCAGAGCTGCACGCTTAATCGCCGTTTCATATACGTGCTCCGTACAGAGGCTCAGCGGCCCATGATTGGCGTGCAAATAAAAGGCAGGCAGCACGTTTCTGTCTGGGATTTAACTTCCTGACGCACCAGCGAGGTCCCATGTGCGATGTGGGTTTGGCCCACTCTTAGCTGCAAGTCAAGTTTGCCTCCCCATGTAAACCCCCAAAAGATCCCTTCTGGTTTCTGAAGGCTGACGGCATCGCTGCTTTTGTGCTCCTCTGCAGGGCCTGCCCAGTCGGGAATCCTCACGGACCGGGAAGTGGTGAGCCTGTTCCTCCACTTCACAGTGAACCCAAAGCCACGGGTGGAGTTCATCGACAGACCACGCTGCTGCCTGCGGGGGAAGGAATGCAGCATCAGCCGTTTCCAGCAGGTGGAGAGCCGCTGGGGGTACAGTGGGACTAGTGACAGGATAAGGTCAGCTTCTCTGCTAATTCTGCTGCTGATAGATTCATGTTTACTGAGCTTTGAGCCTACTCTAGACCTAAACCCGCAAGGTTACATGCTAGACCCTGACTTACACCATATAAACCCTAGTGTGAACCCTGAAGGGAAAGTGTTTTGCTGGGCAAAAGCATCGCCTGATGCATTAACCTGCATGTGCAGCTGCAGGCTGCCACTTTGCTTCTGTATTGGCAAAGGTTTCCAGCAAATGTGGCCTTCCAGCACAGGCCTCTTGGGGGATTATTTCTCTCCTTTTCAAGTGGCTTCTTGCAGCTGTATGGGCATGTAGCAGTTGGAGTCACCAGGCAGCTCATGGCTTCCTCCTGTGCCTGGGTATGTTGACTAACCGGTGCTCCATCAGGTTGGTTCCCTGCTTTATTGTAAGTGTAAATGTGGCTTGTTGAAGCCCCTTAATCTTACCTATTTGAGGGAGGGATTAGGATAAAATGCTTGCTGCGCCTGCTTTTCTGCTAATATCTAGTTTGTTCAGACCTAAGCTTGTAGAGAAACAGCAAAGCCCAGTTGTGACAGATGTGGTGGTGTGGTGCGGCAAATGGTGGTTTGCAAGCCTTGTGTGGCCAAGCGATCAGAGCAAGACAGGAGGTAATCAGAAAGCTGTAGTTATTTCCCAATTCGTCTTTGTCTTGGGTGGAAGGAGGACTAGCATTAATACAGTTCTTTAAAATTTTAAAGCCTTTTTGTTGATCCATTCACCCCCTTACAGGAGACTGTAATTGGAAGAGCTGCTAGCTCCAAACACTTACTGCTCTCAGATCTAATGTTCAGAGAATTTTTGGAGCTTGTATTTGACTTTAAGTTCAGCTGCTGGCAGCGTCAGGGTCAGTCTTCAGCAAGGCTTGTGTGCAGTTTCAACACTGAATGTTTTATGCTGGTTGCAGAGCAGTGGCTTCTAGCCTGCTGCAGATGTTTGTTCTTGAAACACGCAGGACTGAAAGAGTTGGTGGATGGGTGAAGAAATTATGTTGGAAGTTTTGGCAGGCACTGAGACTTTCTGCTACCTGAGAAGGTGGAGCTGTAGTGGGGCAGTGGGGTGAATATGCTTCCCCTTGCTGCCTTAGGCAGCAGGGATTCCTGCGTTCAGGAGCTATTGAATCTTATTTTCTACTCTTGGGTAAATCTTGAGTGCAGCCATATCCAGCAAATACTCAGAAGCACATCGACAATTCTCCTCCAGTACTCAGCAGTGAAATACCTAATGACACTTTAAGTGGTCTTTGCTGTTACCTTGCTGGAAAGACTGCTGCTGCTGTGAGGGTGGGCACTATTCCATGCTCTGCAGGCTACCCTGCCTTTGCCTGGCTGGCATTTTTGGATGCTGACATTGCACCGCAACCTTGAAATGCTTTCTGAGCCTGGGCTCTGAAGTTCAGTGATGGGATTGTGCAGGTTTGTATTTTACATGAGCAAACAAAATTATTGCCATCCCATTAGGACAGTCAAAGGTGTAAGCTTACAAATTATGGTTTCTGTAAAGGATTTCAGTTATTAGTAAGAGTTGCACTTAAAACTGTAGCATGTTTGATTAAATCATAGGTAAAAAATTAAAGTGAGTGAAGATATTTGTGTATTATCGTTGTACTAAAACAATACAGGAGTGGCAAGTTGGTCCGACTTTCCTGATCTGTTCCTGCAGGTTCTCAGTAAACAAAAGGATATTTGTAGTTGGGTTTGGATTATACGGATCCATACATGGGCCAACGGATTACCAAGTAAATATACAGGTAATTCTCTTTCCTACGTTAAAAATATTTGCTGCTGTAGGGACTAACTTACACATTTTAGTGAATATGTAACAAAATCTTAAGTTAGAAGGGACTGTGTTTTCTAGATAGTGTGGTTGGCAGATGTGGTGAGGGCCAGATGGGGCACTGGGGATAAGAGGGATTATTGCTCTTGATTTTATGCAACCTCCCGTTGCATGCGTCACTGCAGTATCGCCTGAAGTCCACTCGCAGCCTTTGAAAATACATCTTGGAGAGTTGTGACACAGTTTGAGAAGAAGCTGTGCATGTTTTCCCACGCCGAGCAGGCCAGGCCAATTCTGCCTGGCAGTAGTTGGGTGCTGCAATAGTACTTTGATCGTCTTTTGCTGCGAGCTGTACAAATGCAGTGGAGCAGCCACGATTCAACAAAGGAAGAGAAAAAAGCCATTGCTGTGTCTGTGCTGGGCCTGTGCAGTGCTGATGTGCAGCCTCATGTCATCAGTGTCCTGTTTGAGATGATGAGTAGGACTGAGGGAGACTTGGTTGTCTGAACTCTGTCATGATCTTGTGCAAAGAGTGGGGTGGCTTATGGAAATCTTGTGTGCCTTGTTCTGGATGTGTGTACATAACCTCAGTCTGGATCACTTGAGAAGAACCAGCCCCAGGAAAGTTACCCCAGCACAGCACAGCTGAAGTGACAAGCACAGTCTGTCAGCACTTCTTCCATAATTGTCAGGGTCTCCTTCTGGTGCCCCTGAGCTCTTGGAGGAGAAAGGCAAGTGAAGATCTAAGCGCAGAACGTTGGCCTGCAGTCCTCTGCCAGGCTTCAGGGTAAGGAGGGATTGTCTTGGGCTGTCTGGGACCCAAGCCCACAGTTGTTTGGTGTGATCACAGCACTGAAGACGGACATAAGTAATGGGATAGTGCAGTTGTAATGGGGGTGGTCAAACTATTGAGTCCCTCAGATTCAGTCCAGTTCAGGCGATAACACCTCTGCTGGTGCAGGGCAGCGTTCAACTAACTGTGGAGGTTAAAAGTTAACACGTGTCTTGCAGATCATCCACACAGACAGTAACACAGTCCTGGGGCAGAATGACACGGGGTTCAGCTGTGACGGATCATCAAACACATTCCGGGTCATGTTCAAGGAGCCTGTTGAAATTTTACCCAACGTCAACTATACAGCATGTGCTACTCTAAAGGTACTGTACTGGGGCAGCATGGGTAGAAGACACAAGATAAAAACAGGTGAAAGCAGGCTTCTTTAGTCCCTTCAGTGCAACATGGTTCTTGCTCTGCATTTTTCAAGGATTGTAGTATAATTTCGAAGGTCTGCTCTGTAGTCCTTCACCTGGTGGTGCAATAAGCACGTTCACCACCAGCATTCAGAGTTGTTTTTTAACTTGTCTTGCAAGTGTACGGTAACTAACAGGCTGCATTAGTGATGAAGTGATGGGATTTTTCTTTTAGTATATACAGATAAACTGTCAGTTCTGCAGGCATGTAATCCAGAGCCTGCCTGCAGTGGCTTAAAAAAGTTGATATTTAACTGTTGAGATCTGGGTAAATGTAGTGTTAAGTTCTGACAAAGACGAGAACTTTGCTCAAAATACCTGAGGTGCAAGAACCAGAAAGAAAAGGGAGGTGCTGAGATCTCCAAAGCTCATAGCTTCAGGCCAGGTTGTGAGGCCAAACCTCCCAGAGTGTGCCTGGGCAGCAGGGTCCTGTGGGGCTGCGATCCCTGTCTTGATCTATTCTTGTCTTCTGTGACCATCACAGGGTCCAGATTCCCACTATGGAACCAAAGGACTGCGCAAAGTGATCCATGAATCACCAACAACAGGAGCCAAAACCTGCTTTACGTTCTGTTACGCGGCTGGGAATAACAACGGCACTTCTGTGGAGGATGGACAAATCCCAGAGATCATCTTCTACACATAGTGCAGCTGCGGAGCTGGCTCTGGACTCTTCCGTTCTCTTCCCCGTGACCTTCCAAACTAAATTTCTGGCTGAGTTTGACCACACCTATTGGAGCCACACTAGCCAAAGGTCTCAGTAAAATCATTTCAAAGCTCATGTTTTGCCTTGTGCTAGTGATTCTGCTGCTATCACGTACCAGACTAACTGGTATACCAGTATCATTGTAGGTTGTCTGTGGCTAGTCATTTTTCACTTTACTGATTAATCCTATCTAACAACATGCGTTTTTTTGACTGTAATGAATGTAGATGCTTTTCCACCAGTCAGAAGCATGGAAACGAGTGGCTCTGGTTGTGGTTATACTTGCTGTGAGGAGAGAATCCTGCAAAAAGACACGGTCAAGGGCTGTGTGGCCCATCCTCTTCTGCTCTAGCTCAGCAGTCGAGGCGAGACGGTTTGCCATGCCTGCCCGGCAGCGCCGCTGCAATGGCAGGGCTTGGCCAGCCCGTGCCTGGCACCTTCCTTCCCGCCAGCCACGGCACGTGCGGCCGCCTTCAAAAAGTTACAGAAAGTGGCCTTTTCCCTGAGGCTTCACTGTTTCAGCACTACATGGTCTTGAGGGAGACCTCAAAACTAGAGCGCCTCTGGAGAGACTGCGGCGTTTTCATGCTATTCTCACTAGTTTGTGACAATCCTTTACCTTGGGCAGTTGGTGACAGTGAACCGACCTCCCCTGCGGACGGCCCGTGGCCCTGCGGAGTCGGGAAGGGGCAGTGGCTCTGGCCGGGCAGGCTCTTTCCTCCCCTGCCTGCAGTGTGCTGTGCTGGGGCCTGGTGATGCTTCTTTCAAACTCTGTAGTGTGTTTCAAACGATGGGTGTTCCTCAGATAACCCCCGTGCAGCGTTCAGCAGCTGGGTACCTGTACTAGGCGTTACTGTGCTAATCAAGTCCTTTGCAGATAGTGCTGGGGTTTGTCAGCTGAAGCAAGCAAGGGAACTTGCCTCACCTGGCCCCCCGTTCCTGTGTATTGCTGCTGTTTTCATGCACGTTTCAATGCATTTTTCTCTCTGTTTGTTTCTGTGCATTGCTAACCCAGCCCTGGGCCACTTCAGAGCCTTCTGCCCTGATGCGAAATAGGAAGAGAGGCTTGATATGCAACTGCCTGTTACCTAATAACACAGCAGATGGATGAGGATTTATGAAACAGTTTAGGAAAACATCAAAGATTCTCTGTTTGCCTGTATATGTTTGCACAGTCTGCCTGTTTGGACAGGCGCAGGAGGAAGATGCGGTATTTACAAATATCACTTGTCTTTGGGCCATTGGGCTCAATAATCTTGAAGACGCCCCCTTCTTACCTGTTCGGGGCCGATTGCTTTTCCCCATAAGCAGGTCCGACTGTGGCTGGGCAGTGAAGGCGCTGTCCTGCCGGGGAGGAGGTGGGTGGCTCGTGCTTGTGGTTGCCTGACCAGCTTCACAGCCGCTGCCCACTGGTGAAGACTACGAGACTATTTCTTCCCCCTGCTCTGCAGAGGAAGCTGTAATTAAAACCCTGCTTGGCAGCGTGGCCAGAGCCTTCCAAAGTCTGCACGGGACTTGCTGGCAGGGGTGGTGCTGCCTCAAAGCTGAGGTTGCCCTTTGCAAAACTCCCCCTCTGCTCCAGGCACATGAAGCTGTTGTAACTCACCGGGCAGCAGTTGCCACCATACTTAGCTGCTAGAAGTTGAAACCTAGTCGTCCTTCGCCGGTGCGGATGGCTCGGTGCCTGCTCACTTGCTGGGGAAATGACATCTCCTCCTCTTGCTCCCTGCGGTCGGGCTCTGCCCTCGGTCCGTGGCTGGCCGGGTATCTCCTCATCAGCAGCGCAGCAGTAATACTGTCAGGAACGCCCTGCACCTCCTAACCAGTAGCTATTAGAGATGTCAATAGTGTGTTACGTTCTCTAGGAAGACGTTGTAAGATGTGTATATTGTAAGCCTGCTTCAAGGTAGGATGTTTTTAATATGGCCAGTACTAAAAAAAAAAAAAAAAAAAAAAAAGGAAAAAAAAAAAGAAGAAAAAAACCGATGGGTCCATGACTTCATTACTGAACCTGACTCTGTGCAATGCAAACAGTGTTGTGAGATGGATGAACAGGCTGGGCACACTCCTTCCTGCAGGGCAGGCAGCCCGTTGGGATGTCTGTAGTTGTGCCTGCTCTCGCCTCCCGCCTCTGCCCCTTTTCTCAAAGGTTGTGGGAACTTCACTACTGGCACCCAAGAACCATGTCAGGGCCTGCGCCTTCCCCGGGGTAGGCTGTCTGCTGTGGATGCGGCACCTCGGGGCATTCTGTATATAGGTGGTAATAGCGGTAATAATTGGAATTTGAAAGAAGCAAAGCTGTGTGCTTGGCTGTGGAAAGAGCAGGACTTGATAGCAGGGCTTGCTCAGCTGAGGTAGGCGCCTCCTTCCTGGCTCTTCCCTGGAAGCATCTGGTTTTAGTACTATTTTGTTATGCAGAGTCTCTTCCCAAACCCACCCTTCCCACCATCACCCCACAAGGTAGGTCTGGTAGCGTGTCGGGGAGGGAGAGGAGTCAAACTCTGAACTACACCTGAGCAACTTCTGTTCTTACGGCTTTTACGCAGTTTGATGCAATTCTGGCTTTTGTAGATAGATGAATGTAAATCATTGTTGGACATGCCTGTTTCCAAAAGTATGAGACATTCTGTTGTACCACGTCACCTTCCGAGCAGAGCTGGGACTGTCTCGACTCCAGTGCTATATTGATGAATGTATCCGATGCTCTTGTTCAGTGTTCACACTCTGCTTTTGGCCAGCTTTGTGATTTGTAAATAGGAAATCAATAAAGACATTCAGGTTGTCTTTACAAAAGTTTCTTCATGATTTGAAGAGAGCTGATGGCTGCCAGTGTGTCAAAGGAAAGGCGGATGGGGGGATCTATCCTGAGCTCGTTCCTGGCCCTTCTCCCCCAGCCAAGGGCACAAGGTCCTCAGCTTCCTCTTCTGTGGTGCGTGGGATGAGTTGGACTCTCAGGAGTCCCAAGAGAAAGACGGATCACTGCTTGGGAAGCCCAGACCCTCTGGGAAATGAGGTTGTGGAGCCTGTGTTTCTCTGGGGGAGGAGAGCAGGAGGATGCTGGGTGGGTGTTAGCCCTTCGATTTAGCGTGTTATTTATGACTGAATTTCTTTCGCCTTGATTGAAGGGTTTTGGCAATTAAACATGCGTTAAAAGCTGCCCTGGCCTTTGCAGGGGTCAGTCTGGGTCTTTGAAAGCAGGGATCTTGCTGTGAGTGAGGGGTAAAGGGCAGCTGCCCTGCCCTGTCTGCTCAGGCAGGACTGGAAGGCAGTCCTCCAGCTCCCCCCACCTGCATCAGGGCTGCGGAACCCCCTTTTGTAGAGCCCTGCCTGTGGCTGGACCGGGCTCCAGCTGGGAACTGCCCTCCTGAGCCACCAACTTCCCCACTCACCGGGTTTTTAGAGGAACATCCACTGGGAGCCCTGGGGAGAATCAGGCTGGGCAGGGAGCTGCCTGCAGCCATGAGCCTCCCTGCTGCCCCCCCCCCCCCCACCTCCCCCAGCTTTCCTCCTGCTGTTTCACATGAAAAAGAAATGAGGGGGATGTATTTTAAGCTCGGTACTGTTTAGCTGCATGAAAGGCCGGTGCACAGTGCGTGGCTGGGGAGGTGGCCCTCTGCTAGGGACGGCCATGGAGGAGCAGGGGCAGTTTTCCCCAGGGATGGGGAACCCGCTGCTGGTGGAGCCTCAGATGGAAAGGGGGGGGGGGGGCTGGTCAGTGTCCCCACCCTCAGGGCCATGCAATCAAATGCAGAAGAATGCATAGGTTTTTAAAGATTTTTTTATTTTATTTTTTAATTGTTTTTATTAAAAAAAAAAGCCCCTAAATTCTATGGCTTCCAGGAAGCATCAGAGAAATTTAAATGCCATTTCTGTACACTTTGTTTTAAAGCAGTAACTAAACTCGCAATGGAACAAACGCCCTCACGTACAATCTCAGTTTTTGGACTCCTCGCTGGAAGGACAGTAAGTCCTGGAGGCCGGGCCGCTGTCCTCGGCTGCCCCCGCAGCCCTGCTCGCAGCTGCCGGTGGCAGAGGGTGCAGATGGAGCTGGGCAAATGCCCACAGCCATGTCCCTTCCCCTCCACGGCTCCTCTTCGGCCTCCGCTTGCGTTGGTCTGAGCCGATGCTCTAAGAAGGGTCTGCTTCCAGTGAAAATTTAAGGCGATTTTTTTTTTTAAATTTTTTGTTTTGTTTGTTTGCCTCGTTGGGGAAACAAGGTCAAACGTTGCATGTCACCCCTCCCCACCGTGGCCGGGGGACACAGCAGCAGCTGGGGCTGCCCTGGCCCCTCCTGCCCTGCTGCAGCCCAGGAGAAGCCAAAGCCGGGGTCAATCCCAAATTTAGGAAGAAGAGGGGCCACGGCGCAGTGCCCTCCCCAGGGCCCCCATGTGCAGCTGTGGCCCATGGGTGCCCAGGCAGGGGGACATCCCCCAACCCCCAGGCTGGCACAGCCCCCCCCATGATTTGGGGTCT